AAGGACCAATATCGGTCCGTATATATATATTCAGACCGATTGCCTATATATCCGGACCGATATTTCGGTTCGAAAATCCCATTCCTGCAGTAGTGTTAGACCAATATGCCAGTATGCCACCTAAGCCCCATTTCGGTCACATCTCTACACTGTATGATACTCTGGCAAGTTACGTAGGAGATTGATGTAATCTGCACTTCCAACATTTATGTTGCATATAAATATAGAGGCAAACTCCTTATTTAACCTTTAAACTTATAGATTTTAAAATTATTGGCTTTCACTTAAAAATTTAAGGGTATTAACCCCTCAACAATATGATTTATGAGAATTCATCTTGATTTATTGGATTTTAATCTCACACTATTGGTCAAATATTATTTCCACCATAGTGACACAATCAATATTTTTATCTAATGTAGCATGCTACTGTGACAATCAACAAAAATTCTCCCTTAATATAATACGAGCCCCACTTTGGTAAAGTTAAATTCTATTTATTTTTGTCCAGACTCTAAACAAGTTTTTTTAAACAAAAAACTTATTATGACAGTGTGGTATTGCCCTGGTGGCATGCCATGTAGAATAGATATGTTGACTATGTTGCTGATTAGGATGGAAATAACATTTGACTAATGGGGTGACATTAAAATCTGTTAAATGATAGTGAATTCCGCCAAATTATATTATTGACGGGCTAAGCCACTTAAGTTTTTAAGTAAAGAGCTAATATCTCTAAAATCTATAAATTAAGGGGCCAAATAAAGGGTTAAGCATAAATATTTCACCAATGTTTTTAAAACCAACCTGGTATCGAACCATTTTAGAAGTTAAAAATGGTTGGACCGGTCCAGTTAGTTAGGCTGCTAATCAGGCCAATGACATTATAAATAATTTCTATATAAAATTTATAACTATTGTAGATAGTAAATAAATTTGTATGCATAAATGTGATGGAGTACACATTTGATCTAATGATAAAGTATTCCTTATTATAGAGAGAAAGGGTTTTAACACTTGTTTGCTAGATTTTTCCTGTTATCAAAACTAATATGTAATAAATTTATTTATATGGAAGCTTGTTATAAAAGAAGTGGCTTAGGGCTAGTGGTAAGTGTCTCTCCTCTAGGGAGTTTGAGTCCTTTGAAGAGCATTTCAAATTTTTTCACACAAAAGCTTAGACCCAGCCGATTCACCCATCATTGGTTCTTACTGGTTTCACCGGATCATAGCGATTCATATTATAAGCTACCATTAGTAGCATGGCCTTTGGATCAATTCTATAATTAAAATCTACCATTTATACTAAAGGTTTCACCAAGTCTACCTCAACACAAACCCTTATATATTGCCCTCGAATAGCAAGTGGACTGGTCTTATCAACAAAAATGGTGCATCCTAACTTATTCCCCAACAGTTCTAGGATTGGTTCTTCATAGTATACAGTGGGCAGCTTGGGAAAGTGGACCTAGATTGTAGTCTTAGGGGCTTTAGCATGTGAGGGGCAGAAAATTGGTTGCCATGATGGCTGCACAGCAAGATAATGGTCGACAATCTTCCAAGGGGCTCCCTTAAGGACGATGCAGTGGTGATCATCCATAGATGAGGACCTAACAGTATAATAGCCTAAACCTACATCGATTATATCAAAAGCACACTCTGTTTTTTTAAGGACTCAAGCCTCGCACAAAAAATTTATATAGGAGGCAAGCTGCTACATGGTGAAAGTTTGTGTGCTCCATATCTTGTTATAAGTATGCACATTTTTGTTACTTTTTTGATCTGTTGTTTAAGGAGCATATAAGTTAAGATTGAAGTACTTCTTGTACTCTATTAATACAACTTTTAATTTTTGTTTAATCAAAGAACTAAGAGTCCATGAATGGTCAATTCAATTCTTCGAGTTAAATTTTGTTTAGGACACTAATTGGTATAACTTTCGATTTAATACACTATACAATATATTTATTAAAAAATTATTATTTTTTAATATGAAATTAAAGATATATAAATTTAAAAATATAGTTGTACATACAACATGAAGGAATCAGTCAACTAAATTGACTGTATTTGTATTGTATTTTAATAATTAAACCAAATATGTGTAGAAAGGTGTCAAGGATTATTATGTACAATTAAATTATAAGGTAAAACTACATGAATAGATACCCCACCTTCACCATAACTTTCGATTTAGTCACTTTCTTTTAAAATTTGTAAATTTAATCCCTCATCTTTAATTTAATTGCCGTCCGTTCATCACTTTCATTAACTTGTCAATTTTATCAATTTTTATATTAATATGGCACCAGAGAATGGCCAACTCTACCTTGTAATTACCTAATTATATGGCACCTACATGGAAAGCAATACTCTTTTCTTTGCGATAAAACTTTAAGCAGCAAAAATAAAAATCGCAGACCTTTAATGACAGAATAGTTATTAGGTTGTGGGAATTTCCTATTTGGGAAATCCTATTGTTTACCTCTCACCTTTTACAACCCTCACTTCCATAATTTGGGAATTTGTAGTGGGAACTCTAAGTCTTTTCTACAAGTTTTATTAAGACTTGGAATCAAATATAGTCATGATGCATATTGAACGAGGAATTCAACAAAAGTGAGAAATTCAACCCAAATATAATATAAACTTTTATAGATTTGTTTGTCATGACTATGATTATTATCACTATTAAATTTGTTAAAATTATTAAATTTTTATCTTAAATTGATTGTTAAAAATAATTAATAATTGATAATTAATAAAATAATTAATATTTATTATTTAATAATTAAAATCAATTTAAGAATTAATATTTTCAAATATCATAACTAACTATTTAAAAAAAATAATAGTTTTAACAAAATCTTTAATGTCAATAACTTTAGCCGTTTGTCCCTTGTTTGTTCTTTTTTAATCTATTGTCTATACAAATTCACATGGTCAATTCGTGGGACTGGGTGCCCCTGTTCGTGTTTTGGACCATGCATTCTTTATTATGTGTTTGGGGACCTTGTATTTAAATTTGCAAGATTGCTTGTTTGGGTCATGAGAGTTTTGACAGCTTTTGCTATATATGTGCTATATGATGTTTAAATTTTTTATTTTATAATTTGATTCTTTTTGAATCATAACTAATTTCGTTTTCTTATTAGTTGCACATTTTGATATTTTGTTTTATTACGATGATTCTTTTTTTATCATATGTTTCACTTTTTTTTTTTAATATATTTGAGAACTCTAAATATTTTATAATTGAAATGCATCATGGGAGGGAGTTTTAGTCATGGGAACATTCAATATAGAGGTGGTGGAATAAACCATGTGGACTATTGTAGTGTTGATGAAATGTCACCCTTAGAGTTTGAGGACATCATAGAGAAACTTAGCCACAAAGATAGAGCTAATAATCTTTTTTTCTTTCTTTCTTTCTTTTTTTTTTTTTTTTTT